CCCAAATCCATCCTGGTGAAACCCAAATCCATCCTGGTGAAACCCAGCTCCCAAATCCATCCTGGTGAAACCCAAATCCATCCTGCTGAAACCCAACTGGCTGGCCCAGCCCACTGCTCACAGCTCAGAGCATCTGAGGAGCCCTCAGGGGATTTCAGGTTCTCTACAGCAGCTCCCCCACCTCGGTGCCAGCCTCTCTGGCAGATGTCTTTCCCCAGTTTCTCTTTCCAAAGCTGTTTTTCCACCCTGCCTGTGGCACAGGCTGCAGCCAGGGGATGCTCTGAACCCTGGGGACAGCCCCTGCAGCTCCTGCTCTGCAGGATCCACACAAGGACATGGATCTGGAGGTTTTAAACCTCATGTCCTAAAATCCCTGGGATGGGGACTTTTGCCTCCTCACAAAGCTCTTTCCCACCAGATTGAAATCTGCAGAGATTTCAAAAGAAGCCTTGAGGAACCACGTCCTGCGCCTCCATCCGTTACAGAGAGGACAAAAACATCATTATAAAATGCCACCAGCTTGGAGATTGTCCAAGAGACTTGATGGACTTGGAGATGTAGACTCTGAACACCACAGGTCTCAAGGGCCAGGATGCAGCTGCCTTCCCTACAATCACTGAGTGGGGCTCTCATGGACTGGGTACAAGCCCTGAGAGATTTTATGAATGACACAGCCAAAACAAAACCACAAAACATGGAACACCCCCAGGCTGTCTCACCATGAGCCTAAAGGACTGTAAATTTAAAAACACAATACTGGTCTTAACTCCATATGATATAGAAGCTGACTGTACTCTAGAGAGTTTAAGGGTGCCCAGCAAAACCTCCACAAATGCTCCAAAACCTATAAAATCAACTCTGAACATTTCAAGGTCAAATTGGTTGAGCAACTACAAATATTGTTTAACCCTAGTCCTTAAAGAGATGCAGACCAATGTTCCTGCTATCAGACCAAAATATTCATCTTTTACAGGTACCTCCTCTGCTGGGTGATTTTCCTGCCTAAACCAGAGGCTGTTATCTCACACATATAACTGATATATTGGGAACTGGAATAGGAGTGTTGAACAGTATCAGTCTTGAAACTCTGACTGATCAATTGGGTGCAACTATTAATTATTTGAACACTATAGATCAACCCTTAAGTTCTTCCCTATCTGCTCTGATCAGTTTCAAATATCAAAAATATCCAAATGCTAATGACCAACTGGGTGGTGGTCTGGAAATTGCACAAAGCAGTGTCCTCAGCACTCAGCTGTATTCCAGCTCAGTTGTGGTTACACTCCTGCAGTTCTGGGATAACCACTGAATGGGAAAAGGGACTTTTATTCGTTGAAATTTGAAAAGGCATTTAAATTCTGGTGCTGTTCAATCAAATTTTCTTATGTTCCCATCACTAGTAAGATCACAGTGTTTGCCTTAGCAACACAGGGTGCTTCTGTATGTACCAAGCACCAAATACTGGTGGTAGGAATGGGATTAGATCCATTGGAACACTGAGCATGGGCTTTTAAAAACAGTCACACACATGTAGATTGTTGTGTGGAGACAGAATAACGGGTTTATATGTGAAAATAATATTCTGAGAGCCTAAGCTGTGTGTTTGGACATAGAACTGTGTCTATCATTTGGAAATGTCTCCTGACAATGACCCTGAATCCATCCCAGTCCATAGGATAAGGGGGTGTGTGTCTAAGACTCCCTTGTGACAATTTAACAGTGGGTGACACAAAGATACAACTTTGTAACCACTTGAATCCATGTATTTGTAACTTCACCTACAGAGCAGGCTGTGATTTCAGCTATTCCTACCAAAAACTGCACCAAAATGTATGTTAGATGTGTGTCCTATTACACGACAATGTGTAATAGGACATTTTGTCTACAACACCTACTGGAATGGATTATTAAAAACTGGGGACAGTGATCTACACAAACTGGTACAACAGCTCAAAAAGAAATTCAGAAAACAATGATCACTGTCCATTATTATGTGGAAAAAATGCCTTGTAGCCTACAGGGAGTGAAAAGGGATGGAGAACACCGTGTCTGCCATTCCCAGGGACCATGGAGAGCCCCAAAGCCCCACTCTGCACCTCCTCAGCCTCTGCTTTTCCCCACAAAGGCAAGGCTGGATCACCCCTCTCATGCAGCACAGCTGGTGCTGAGGGCTGCAGCTGCTGGACACATGGGCAGGTGTGGTGGCCAAAGGATGGAGAGGGCATCCTTGGCTGGGCTCAGCCCAGGGACCAGCTCCTGCATGCCAGCCCCGTGCACACCTCACAGCAGAGCAAGGACTTGACCCTGTGCTGGAGCCATGTGGGCTGCAAAGCTCCCCCTTCCTCATCCTCTCCCCAGCACAACCAAGGGGGATGCAGTCAGGGGTGGCTTTGCCAGGCCCTCCAGCAAAGCAGAGGGGCTGCTGGGACACCCCCAGCTCCCTCCCCAGCCCCCCAGGCCAGCAGGACTCAGCCAGTGCTGACAGAGGGTGATGGAGAGGACACAGGGCTTGTGTGTTCCTCCCCAAGAGCCTCAGCCGTGTTTCTCCAGCACAGAAACCACCAGGAACAGGCAAGGCAGCAGGAGAGGAGGCTTTCCCAAAGGAGCAGAGGAAAAGAAAGGATTTCCCCTCCCTCCAGTGGGTTTCACCCACCCTCTTGGCTCTCCAGCACCTGCTGCAGGTCTGGGACCTGCCACAAAGTCAGCTGAAGGGGCAAGGCACGGGCAGAGTTGCTTTCAGCTTGTCCACAAATGTATTGACTGAGGCCCCATGGAGGGTTCTGGTTTGGTTTTTTTGGCTCATTTCCCCACACACAGGCTGAGGAAGAGGAGCCTGCAGGGCTGGGCAGGGTCCCCAGCCCACTGGGGTGTTCAATACATTTGTCACCTTTGGGCAACTCTGGGCAGGGAAGGGGCACAAGCGTGGGTGGAGGAAACCGTGTTGGCACAGAGCGAACATGAACTTTCACACAGACGGAGGAGCCTGGGGGGAAGGAAGAAAAGAAAGGGATGGAGAGAGGCTGGGAGGAAACAAAAGTGGAAGGAGGGTGGGGAAGAAAGCATGAAGAAATGGGAAAGATGGATGAATGTTGGGGCTCTGTAGAAAGATGACCTGGTGGACACACCCCATCTCCCTGAACTTGGGAGGCTGCACAGCTGGACTGTGGATCACACCCCAGCACAAAACACTGCTGTGCCCACCACAAGCCTGTACCAGGCTGCAGCTGTGCCACACAACACCTTCCTAAGGAGGACTGGTGTCTCCTGGGGTGCCAGCAGCCCCATGGCCAAGGGACAGAGAATCCCAGCAAAACAAGCCTGCAGCTGCCTGGGGACTTCCCAGTCTGGACAGGCCACCCTGACCTATGGGGGGTGACATGGCTGGTGCTCAGCCCCACAGAGGGACGGCTGGAGGGGTGCAGTGAGGACAACCTGGCAGGAATGGTGAGAATGATGGTGATGGGAGAGGAGGGATGGATGCAAAGGGCTGGGGGGATGCAGGGAAGAGCAGAACTGTCCCCCCCACCCCAAGTTCATGTTCAGCAGACGGCCACTCACCAGGTAAGCAGGCCTCAGAGCACAGTTTATTGTCCAGCGCTCTCACGTGTGCGATGCCCATGTCATTGTTATTGTCACAGCTCAGACCGAGGAAAGCGCCTGTCCTCGGGCCTGGAAGGGAGTTAAGGCAGTTACCGCCGCGGCCGCCTTTGGCACTGGGGCTGGGACTGCTGGGGCTCCTCCTCTCCCCTCCCCAGCCTCTTCCAAAACAAAGAAATGACACAGGAACGATGCATCGGGGTGGCAGCGGGTGGAGAGCGGACAATAAGGCCTGGGCACGGCCCCGGCTGCTCCTCCCCTCGCAGCGGGACAGCAACAATGTGGGCATGAGCATGAACCTGCCCAGGGCTCAGGCAGACCTTCCCTCTGGCACAGCCAGGCTGTGGTGGCACCCATCACCTCCTGCAGGAGCCTCTCCAGCACCAGCGGCGCCGTGAGAGCTGCGGGGATGCCAGCAACAGGCAGTAGCTGGATGCGTGGGGCAAAAGAAGCCGTAGCCAAGCTTTTGCAGGGGGGATGGAGGCTTTTGGGGATGAGGGAGGGAACTCTGCCTCTTAGCATCGCTTCTCCAAGAGATCAGCCTCCAGGGTCTTACCTGCATCCATCAGATGCAGGTGACTGAACCTCAGGAGGGATGTTCCCAAATGTGCCAGCAGCCCTGCTGAGAACAGCTGCAGGACTGTGTCCTAAAGAGAGAGGCCATCCTGCTCCCAGAGCTGCTGGGATGCCCATGGATGTCCACCACAGCCCCTGGTTGCTCCTGTGTGTTATACTTGAGTCTCCCCATCAGCACGAGCCTCTCTGCAGTCAGAGGCCATGATTTGGGGATGGGTGTTCCATGGGTGTTCCTGCTTTCCAGCTTGGCTGAGCATCCAGGTTGGATGGGGAAAGAGTTTTGTTGTAATTTTGCTAAAAGGAGACTTGGAAATGTGGGAGGGGGCACACTGTGGGCCTCCCTGTTGCCCAAAAGCAATCCAGGGCGGTTGGTGGCCAATGGCATGGAGGTGACCACCTCTTTCCCTCTTTCCTTGGCTGCCTGAGCTCAAAGGAAGAGGCAAGAGGAGCCCTCAATGTGCATGTGTTGACTTGCAAAAGCACATTGAGGACAGGCCAAAGTGAGGAAAGCATCCCAGAGGGAACAGCTCTGCAGCCCCTTCCTATGGGAATCAGCCCAGACACTGATTTCTACAGGGGAGAGTTTGAGAGATCTGAGAAAAGACCTTGGCAAGGGGAAAAACACACACAGAGAGAGAGAAGCCTCTTTCCCATTTGGCTCCTTGGAAAAACCACTGGGTCCTGCTCCATGGAAAAACCAGTCATGGCTGCTCCATGTCCCACCCTGAGCTCTCTGGTCCCCGTGGCTGCCTGGCTCCCCCACCCCCTGTGCTCAGCCCCCGTGGGTGTCCCTGCTGTGACAGATGTTCCTCTGAGCCCAGGGTCCCCAGGGCTCTCCCTGATGGCAGTGGGGAGCTGGGGACAGCACAGCACCTCCCACTGACAGTGACAGTGAGGGGACAACAACGACCCAGGGCCTTTTACCGTCTTCCTGTGTGGGAGAGGCGTCCTCGTCCTCCAGCACATCGTTGCCCTGTGGCACAGGGAGAGGCAACAGGGAGTGTTAGCCCAGGGCTGTGCCAGGGGCTGTTCCCAGTCCCTCTGGGGGAACATCCCTGGCCCTGGGGGTTCCATGGACCAGGACTGGTGGGGCACAGCCCCATTGCCCCATCCATCCCCAGGGCAGCCCACAGGGACATGGATGTGTGGGCAGCACATTCCCCAGTCCAGCCCTGGGGGGACAGGGGGCCACTGCCCAGCTTGCCCCTTCATGGGCACAGCTGGGATCATTCATAGTGCCAGGTGACACCACAGCTGGGATCCCCCCATGGTGCAGGGTGACACCACAGCTCCCAGTGTGGGCACAGCTGGGATCCCCCCACAGCTCCCAGTGTGGGCACAGCTGGGATCCCCCCCACAGCTCCCAGTATGGGCACAGCTGGGATCTCCCCACAGTGCCAGTTGACACCACAGCTCCCAGTATGGGCACAGCTGGGATCCCCCCACAGCTCCCAGCTCTGGGCACCACTGGGATCCCCCCACGGTGCCAGGTGACACCCCAGCTCCCAGTCCCCTGGGGGATGGCTCTGGTTACCTCGGCATCGCGCTCCTCGGCAGAGATGCTGACAAAGTTCAGATCATCTGGGGACTCCACAGGTGTTGACTGTAGGAGGAAGGTGGGAAAGATGGAAGGAAAAGAAAAGAAAATCTGGTGCCAGTGGTTTTGGAGGGGGAGTTAGATCCCATGGGGGAGCTCTCCAAGCTGGGCTCCACCAACCACCCCCAGTCCCCACCTCTCCATCAGAGGCTGTGGCGCTCGCGGCCGCGGGCGAGGGGAGCATGTCCCCCTCCTCTTCCTCCTCCTCCTCCTCTTCCTCCTCCGTGCCAGGGGCGATATAGGAGCCAGACATGGAGGACACGGTGTCGGTGCTGAGCTGGGAGTGCTGGCTCTGGGAGGAGGCCATGGACATGACGGACTGAGCCAGGCTGCTGCTCACGGGCTCTGGGGGAGAGCAGGGGCTGAGGGGGCTGCTGGAACCCCCACCCACGGGTGGGAGTCATGGCACAGCACCCACTAATGGAACAGGGGCTAATGAGGAGGAGTGGGGTGCAGAGGAAGGACTGGCTGCACGCCACGGAGATGTGATGGGTGCAAAGCTGCCGGCAGCAGGTCCCCAGGGCTCACAGCCCCCCATTTCTGTGTCCACAGGGTGACAAACCAGGCATAATCAGTGCCCCTGTGATTCCCATCTCCAGGTGTACAGGTGACAAAGCAGAGGTGACACCCTGGGGCTCCATCCAATGTCCATGGTAGGGTAAGAAGGGCCATGCCACCCCTCTTTGCATCCCCCCACAGTGTGACAGTCCTGAGATCACCATGGCACCCTCCTGCCCTGCCAGCACCCCTCCATGCTGTACCTTCTGGGGACGAGATGGTGGAGGACAGGGGTGTCCCAGTGCACGAGGACTGGTCGATGGCTCCTGATGATGACAGGGTGAGGTTTTCACTCTCTGGGGTTGCACCACATTCCTGGAAGAGAAGCCCATGGGAAGCTTGGGATGGGGGATATTCAGCATGGATGGCTCATCTCCTCCAGGCATTCTCATGGAGGAAGAGCCAGAAGGGGCAACCCCAACCAGTTTCTCTGGTCCCAAGCCTCCCCCTAATCTGCTGCTTCTCCAGTGCCTCAATTCCTTACTACCAGTAAGGAGTTGTACTGATTTTGGACAGTGTTCATGTCACAGACATCTTTTGTGAAAAATCCTTTCTTTAGGATTTTTCTCCCTTCTGAGAAGCTGTGGCCTCAGCAACAAAATGTAAGCGACAAAATGCAAACAATGGTTACCTGCTGCCGTGGAATGCAACAGGTTGGTCCGTGATTGGTCTGGAGTAGATGTTTAGATTTACTGACCACTCACAGCAGAGCTGGGTCTCACTCTCTGCTGAGATACAGCCCGTTGTTATTCATTCCTTTTCTATTCTTAGCTTAGCTAGCTTTCTGAGAACCTTTCTCTCTCTGTTCTTTTTAGTATAGTCATAATGTAATATATATAATAAAATAATAAATTAAGCCTTCTGAACATGAGGTCAACATTCTCGCCTCTCTCTCACCCTGAAGACCCTTGTCACCACTGTAACATGCTCACCTCCTCATGCCGGGCTGGGGATCTCCTCCTGGCCACCCTCAGCTCTGACTCAGTGCACGACTTCTCATCCTCCTCTTCGGGCAGGATGGAGGAATTCTGTGAGATGGACCTGGCCAGAGGAGCAAAGCAGAGGGTTTC